GGTGCAAGCAGTTTGGGCACAATTGACGAGGCTGTACCCAGAGCAGGAACCAAGCTGCATGAATTCAACCAGGGTCTCCCCTCCAGCATGGACAATGGCCCCCTACTATCAAACAGATGTTCCCCCAGTCATACCCAAGTTCGAATCCAACGAGGAGCAACCCTTTACAGCTGACCCAGTGCAAGCCGCCACGGAGAACCGACAGCACCATCGCCAATCCGTCTAGCTGAACAGAAAGCCAGCTAAAGGTCTCAGACACGGGAGCCACCCTCACCTTGGTGAAGCGACACCTGGTCTCAGATGCTGCCCAAACTGGAGGTTCTGTAGTGGTACAGGTAGCAGGGTGAGCAGTAAACAGGCTCCCCACTGTGAGGGTCCACTTGAATTGGGGTGCCGGGTCAGGTCTGATTGATGTGGGGTTGATGCAGGAGCTCCCCACCGACGTCTTACTGGGGAACGACCTATGCCAGTTGACCTCAGCGTTCCTGCCATACCAGATCCCAAGACCACATCACAGAGAACTACTTGCATTCTGAGGTCCAGACTTTTGAGTGTTTGGATGAGGTGGGGTATTGAGCCAGGTCGGAGATGATGGCGTATCTGAGCAGTAAACTTCGACCCAGAAAGGTGCGCGCCACCGCCATCGAACAAGAATGCCTGGCTGTGGTGTGAGCCCTAGAGAAACAACAGCACTGATTGTACGGACAGCAGTACTTCCCAGACATTGCCAAGCCGATCCGGTAAGGATCAGACTGTGTATGCCGGCTTGTGGTAAAGGGGGAGCAGTGTAGCGGAATGGATGTTCTAGCTACACTTTTATTCCCTTTTCTTCGGCTGTCCATACAACCCCCATTCGTTTACCGAACCAACTATGTGTGGGTACCGAGATTCCTTTTATATTTTGGTCACCTTGTGCCTATTATTGGTGCAGGGTATGTTGAATGTATTTCTTGTCTGTGCCTCTCCCCTCCCCCTTTTTCCTGTTCTATTGTTTCCCCAGCAGGGCTTTGTTCCAGGGTCACTGCCAGACCAGTTTAAACTAGCTGCTTTGTCCCTCCTCAATCTCCCATCACCCCTTGCTATTGTCTGACCCCACCCTTCCTTATACTCTACTCTATGCACCATTGCATTTAAATGAGGCTGTTCGGGGCTTAAAATATATGTGCTATGCCTAGTAAAGGCAGTTGCTGTTTTACCTTCACCATGTGTCCTCTGGTGTTTGGGAAAAGGGATATAATCTGCCAATGCAAAGGGTGTCCAGGGCTGTAAGCACATTAGCCTGGTCCAGGATGGAAAAAGCCCTCAGTGATTCCAGACAAGCCTCTCGGTGACTGGTACTGGAGCTCTGCCACACAAATGTCAGCAGAGTTCTGTTTATTCTCTTGAAGTAAAAAGTTCAGTTTTTTGGGCGAGTTTAGCCCTTTCACATTGAGGAGCTTCATTTTAGGTGGGCTCCACCTAGTGTGGCATCGAGAGGTAAGCTGTGTCAGTGAGGGTTCGAATTCCTATGGCATGTGACAAAAAAAAAACTAAACAGTAACTATATACATAAAGGAAAAGAGAAACATAAGTAGTAACTACAGAGATGGTGCAAGACTTGTGCATGGCTAGTAGCAACCCACAAGTGGCGTGTAAGCACCTCTCTGGGAGCATAAGTTGGCGTGCAGGTTACTGGGGTCAGAATGGGCATACTCTAATCACATCTATCTTTTGTGTACATAATACAATAGTAACATAATACTGTTCAGTACCCAAGAGCAGATTAAAGTAGCATTTTAATACTCAGAAAGTGATGAAGTGAGATTTAAAAAGATAATAGAAAACATAATATGGCAAGGAAGGTATTGAGGTGGAACAGGATATGTCCCAAGCCTCATGAAAAGGATATGTGGCAAGTGTATCAAGTCGCCATCGCCTTGGTCATCTGCTGGGCATCTTTGGACAGTGGATTCATTCAGTGCTTCTTCTTTGGCGATTTCTGCCACTTGGACCATGGGGGGAGTCCTGATTGTAGGTTAAGAATCAGGCCTGTCCAGTCTTCCACTGGGTTGTGGGGTAAATCAAGAGCTCTCTGGAACGGAAGAGCTTCTGCGGGCAATGAGAGAGAGAGACCTCCCCTGGTGGGACAGTAGTGCAAAAGGATAATTCTAATGAAATCTGACACCTTTGTGACCGAAATCGGATGTCGTTGAGGGCCTTTGTGAGCCTCCTTAATGCCCTGCGGGTCTGTAGCATGGCCTGGGACAGGTCGGGGAAGATAAGAAGAATGATATGGCTGTGAAAGCTTATCTCCTGGAGTTGCCTGACCTGTCTCAGGATATCCTCTTTAACGGAGTAGTGATGGAGTCGGCATATTATATACCTTGGCTTGTCTTGGGAGATATTCCTGGGTCTCAGGGTCCTGTGCGCCTTGTCCAATTTGATTTTGTTGTCTGTGGCATTCTGCAGGATTAGATTGAACAGGTTTGTCAGGAACTTAATTATCTTCTGTGGACAAATTCAGAAGCATTGTATATAAGATATAACAAAGCCAATAATGCATGCAAAAAGTCAGAGTGGCTAAACTAGAAAAAGATAACTAAAGAGTATATAAATTCTACATTTTTTTTAAAAAGGAACATACACTGAAAACAGACATGGCTGTTTTAGTAAATGAAGATCAGAAAAAGGCAGAGGTTTTAAATAACGATTTCCTCAGTATATATTAAGGAGGGTCCCATGGTAAAATATATTTAAATGATTACTGCAAAAAAAATTGCAGAAATATTGTGACTGGATTACTCAAGACAAGATGCTGCAGCATTAAAGAAAGTTAATGTAAACAAATCTCCGAGGACTGATGGTATTCACCCACGAGTACTTAAGGAGCTAAGATTATTTTCTTTCAGGAATTGTACTGGAGGATTGGAGGAAGGTAGATGTGGTTCCTATATATATTCAAAAGACGTTCAAAATCAATCTTTGTCTGTAAATTATAGGCCTGTCTGCTTAACTTCTGTGGCTGGGAAATTATTTGAAAGGCTATTAAGGAATCATAATTCAGAAATGTATTGGGAAGAATATTGTTATTAGCAATAATCAGCATGGTTTTATGAAACCTAGTTCATAGCAAACTAACGTAATTACATTATACGAAGAAGTACAAGAATAGATAAGGGTGCCAAGGCATTTGTTATGGTTCTTCACAATAGGTTAGTGTTCAAACTAAAAGAAATAGGTCTACATTAAAATTCATGTTCTTGGGTAGAACATTGGCTTAAAGACAGAATACAGATAGTTGTCATTAATGGTATATTTTCAAGCTGGACAAAACTCGAAAGTAATACATTGTGAACAGGATATTGCTTTGCTGCAAAGTGGTTTAGATATATTTGAGGACAGGGCACTCAAATGGCAGATTAAATTTAATGTAGATAAAAGCAAAGTTATGCGCATTGGGATAAAGAATTCACAAGCAATTTACACCCTAAATGGTAGTGAATTAGGGATAGCAACACCTGAGAATGATTTCGGAATTTATTATAGACAACAAGCTAGGCAACAATGTGCAATGTCAATTGGAAGTTGCTAAGGCCTGTAAAAAAAAAAAATCCAGCGCACTCCCTTATCCACTAAACAGCAACTTTGGTGCTCACAGATTTTGTTAGTTTTTTAAAAACACCTAATCTAGGGAAAAATTAAAGTGTGGTTCATGAGCTACTTACTTGGGGGAAAAAAAGCAATCTGGAGTAATCTTCAGTACAAGGCTAAATAGGACCCTGGGATGAGGCACCTGTGACAGGGAGGGGTGCAAGACTCTCGTTGGCTAGACTCTCATATTCATATATCTATATCTCTATCTCATTCTCAGGGGGCTGGCTGCACTCACCTGAACATAGCATGAGTAGGTTGCTGCTGGGAGCCAATTTATACAATAAAAAAAAGAAATCCAGTGCACTCCCTTATCCACTAAACAGCAACTTCGGTGCTGACAGATTTTGTTAATTAGCTAAGGCCAGTAAGGCAGGGCCAACTTTAGCGCGGGGCAAAAGGGGCAGCCGGCCCATTTATTACTGGGGGGGCCCAAAGCAGCTGCCTCTTGAGCCTGCACCTTTAATATTTCACCGGTCCATGCTCTTTCCCATGTGGGCCACGGCCAGGTGCCTATCATTATGTTTCCCTGTGGCCGGGCCCTTGTTACATTGATCCCGCGTGGCCCCCCTTGTGTTTCTCTGCGTGTCTCGGCCGGTACGGGGTCCCTGTGTGTTTGTTGCCCCTTCGCCTGCTGGGAGGAAGTGAGTTCAAGTCACTTCCTCCCGGCCAGCTAACAGGCGCATGGGAAGGAGGAGGATACCGGAGACACGAAGCAGGGATTCTGAGGAAGACTGGTGCCTCCGACTCCCATCACCTTAGGTCAGCCAGCTCCCACTGGACCCCAGGGAAGCCATACTTCTGCAGGAAAGTGTTTTTTATAGTAAGAACAATAATGATGTGTAATTCTCTGCCTGAAGAGTTGGTTTTATCAGAGTCTGTAAAGATGTTTAAACAGCAATTGGATAAATACTTGCAAAAACAAAAAATTTTGGCATATAATTTTTAATTAATGGGCTAATAGCTTCTTGATTCAAGGAGATATCTGACTGCCATTCTGGGGTCAAGAAGCATTTTGTCCTAGTTTGTTGAAAAATAGGAAGCGCTTCAAACTGTTTTTTTTTAATTTATTTATTTATTTTTTGCCATATTTTGGATGAACAGTAAAAACAGATGTGAGAAAGATTGAACTTGAAGGACACATGCCTATGTTTAACTATGTAACTATATGTAACTTTCACTTGCCCATTTTTCCTGCTTTCACAGGGCCGGTGCAAGGAATTCTCCAGGGCCATTGAAAGGAATGGTGATCCCGAGCGCACAGCCCCCTGGTGACTAGACCTCCCAAAATCAACCTGCATCAACTCACAGCAACAGGACAACTCCAGCAGCCTGTGGAAACCTGGCATCAACACTTATTCAGTTGAGATTGTGAATCCTCTTGAAACTTTGCAAGGATAACAAAGAAATTAACACTCCAGCTTCTACAACACACCCGAAGGTGAGATCCAACCATTATAGACATTTATATTCTTTTTTGAGTACTCAAGGTTGTACTTGCAATTTTTCAATTTTTTTTTCTTTTAAACATTTTCTTGTTTTTTTTTATTTATTTTTTCCTTTTTTTGAAAAACAGAAGGTGTCATTTGTTCTATCTACTATAAAGAGTTATGGATACTACACAACACTTAAATATGTTGAAAGAACTTCTGGGTTAATCAATCTGAAAAAGGACTTTAGAGGATGTTTTTCTTGCTTATATTTATCTGGCAGGTGATTAGGAATATGGTAAGGATTGAGTGTATGTATTTTTTATTCGTTTGCATTTCCCTGTATGGGGTGGAGAGATGTGGTAGATACCACTTATATAGAAGTGATTCCTTTTTTTGATGAGAGATATGAATTCAAAATCTCTTTGAGCATCTATTATTGGAGTGCAGTGTCAGTGTTTATATTTTTTTTCAAGGAATTCTGCCACTTTAGGCAAAAGTCCATTTTACTCCTTTCTTGTGATATCGTTCCATTGCGTCACAAGTTTATTCACTAAACACCAAAAGGAAACATTCCACTGTTTTTTTTTTTTGTTTGTTTTAAAGAATTTATTAGATATACTCCCAAAGAAATGATGCTTTTATTCTGCATTTTTTTCTGCATGCCCCCAGTCTGTGCTTGCTAATACTTCAATCAGAGGCTTCATTGGGAAGAAGCCTCTATGCTGGAGCTGCAAGTATTAATAATAATAATAATAATAATAATAATAATAATAATAATAATAATATTTTTATATAGCGCCATCAAATTCCGCAGAGTTTTTTACAATGGGTGGACGAACAGACATGTAGTTGTAACCAGACAAGTTGGATACACAGGAATAGAGGGGTTGAGGGCCCTGCTCAATGAGCTTACAGGCTAGAGGGAGTGGGGTAAAGTGACACAAAAAGGTAAGGATAGTATTACACTAGTGACAGTTGCAGAAGAGGAATCAGTCAGGAGCTATTAACAGTTTAATTGATACGCTTTTATGAAGAAGTGGGTTTTTAACGATTTTTTTTTTTTTTGAAGGAGTGAAGACTGGGTAAGCATCTAACGGGGGAGGGAAGCGAGTTCCACAGGAACGGTGAAGCCCTCGAGAAATCTTGAAGGCGAGCATCAGAGGTGGGAGAAGATCGATAGGTAGGAGCACCATTATGTAGAGATTTGAAAGCAAGAACCAGAATTTTAAATTGAGCTCTATATTTTAGAGGAAGCCAATGTAGGGTGAGGAATGGGAGGTGCGGGCAGACAGGAAGATGAGCCTCGCTGCCACATTCATTATGGACTGTAACGGCGCAAGTTGGGAGCACATAAGACCACTGAGAAGCGGATTACAGTAGTCAAAGCGAGAAAGGACAGTGGAATGGACCAACACCTTAGTCGCATCTGGCGTTAAGTAGGGGCGGATGCGCGCAATGTTTTTGAAATGGAAATGTCAGGATTTGGTAAGTATGCACATGCACTCTCGATCATGGCTTATCAATGTTTCCCATTAAGTTCTATTGCAGCTCAATGAGAAGGGGGGGGGGGGGAGCAGGTACAAGCTAATACTTCTAGTCTGACTCTTCTGTTAGCTCTGGGGAACTAAAGGAAGTGCAAGAAAACCTGGCTGTGTTGACAGACAGAGAGGTGTTTTTGCCGCCAATTATAAAAAGACCGATTTCTATTGAAGTCATAATTTTTAAAAACTGCCACCAAGAAAAATGACTCTCATACTCACACACTGCCATAGGAAATGGGGGAACTGTAGGAAGAAGCCCATTCAGTGAGTGTGGTACTTCCTCTGCTGCCATGTTTCCAGTTCCTGTCTGTGGTCCCTCCCGCAGTCCAGGATCAGGACAGGGGGAAGCTCTTGCCCTCCTCTTCAAAGGGCATGCTGTTTGGACTGGAAGGAGGGGACATGGGCAAGTTGGGGAGGCGGAGGTAGAATATTTGGGGCTGTGTAAGGCCAAGTTAGTTGTGGGAGGGACGGGAATTATGTATTTTGGGTAGGCAGAGGCAGGGTTACAATTATAGCATCAATGCTCTGTTGACAGCATTTGAAGTTGCAGAATTACCAGGAAGGGAAGAGAGCAGGAGCAGAGAGGGGTGGGCGCTGGCAGGTTTGTCATAGGGGAGGCGGGTTTCTGTAATTGCAGCATGTTCTCATTTGTGGCCGAACCAGAGGAGCGTTACAGCCCCTGCGGATGCCCCCTCTTGGAGAGCACCCTAGGCCACTGCCTATTTGGCCTAATGGAAGCGCCGGCCCAGTGCTTCCAGCACATGAAATTAAAGAACTAACGGTTCATTTGTCTGCACCCACTGGATCAATCAAAACATTTGCCATAATAAATCATATTATCATGGGCAGCTGGTTTATCCTTTTTTTTTTTTTTCTTTTTTTTTTACGTTTATAAATTGTTACTTTGTCAAGCATTTTCTAAATTTAGCTAGTTACATTTATACGATTTGTTACAATAATTTATCTATAGATCCAAAATTAGAAAATGCAACATTTAGCTGGTTATAGTTATAAAGCTAGATATCTGCTTGCTAGTAAGTTAGATAAATAATTAAATAGAAAGCACAACAAAAGACAAAGATCCACAGCACAGATGCAAAACCAAAATAATAGATTGTAAAAAAATTCCAGATATTAAACTACATTCAATACTCAACCAACAGGTAACGTTACATAAACTTACACTGATTTATACAACATAAGAAACAGAAATGTGGAACACTAACCATAACTATAACCTGTGTATAACAGAGTTTGGTGATAAAGGTCCCTGTCAAGCACAGTGGGCATGATATTTGTCATGGCATTGCTAGGTTTAACCTGAGGTTTTTTTTAATTTTATTTTTTGGTTTTTTTTTTGGCACCCAAGGATAACTCTTTTTTGTGTATCTAGCATTTTTTGACTGTTTTAGCAGAAAAAAAACTCTGGTTGAAAGATAATTGCTGGTGCTGTGTGATTTAACACAGTTAACCCTTGCAATGCCTGCAACCAGAACTTTGTAATAAAATGTTAGGCGGTCAAACAGATAAGAATAAAGTGAATCAAAGGGTCCACATCAGTAATTTTAATAAACCAGGTATCATAATTAAGTCAGAGGTGGCTGGCTTTGCAGGAAACCGAGAAAAGACTGAGAACTCAATGTCAGCCCAGGCAAACAGTTAACACCTCTCGGGCTTTAGTGATATTTATAGTAGAGTAAGTTATGTGTTTTAGCTTAAGTCACATTTTGTTTAACCCCTTAAGGACCAAGCTTCTGGAATAAAAGGGAATCATGACATGTCACACATGTCATATATCCTTAAGGGGTTAAGAACTAAATTTTGTATTTTGTGGAATTCTCTGCCTGAAGAAGTGGTTTTATCAGAGTCCATACAGATGTTTAAAAAGCAACTAGATGCATACTTGCAAACACAGAATATTCAATTATATAATTTTTCAACTGTAGGGTAATAACTTCTTGATCCAAGGAAAAATCTGACTGCCATTCTGGGGTCAAGAGGGAATTTGTTTCCTAGTTTGTTGCAAAAATGTTTAATTCTTTATTTTGTTGTGCTTAGAATCACAGTACAGGCTTGTCTAGCCACAACAGCATCCACAAGCTGAGTTATAACATCTTTGTTTTGCTTGGCATTTTAATTAACAGCACATTTTTTGTTTTATGAAAAACACATTGTAATAACAGGTTGGTTAACATTAGTTATATATTAAGTCGCATGCATGTAGAAAATTTCTTGTCTGCTAGGTTGCTTTGTACAGGAAACAATATAAAGGACATTGTAAGTACAGTTGTGAGCACTTCATACACATCTTAGTAGGTCTATCTATCCTAAATTTAGTGTTTAGCTGGTGTTTTTATGTAGGGCTGGCACGTAGCGTGTGAGTTGCTTTCTAGCTGTGTGGTGTTAGCCTGCTTGGGAATTGTAGTAGGTGTTTAAGGGTTAGATAGATGCCATTGGACGTATGGGCGGTGACAGACCCTTCCCCCTCACATTGCTTGCATGCTGGTGTCATTAGGCTTATTAATTTTGAGGTTTGAGGTGATGTAAGTAAAGCTTTTGACCCGCTGGGTATCGGTTAACAGTGAGGTGTGTATCTATTCAGATCTGCTTTGCATGTCTTATGAGCTCGTAAAGTGCCTACTAACGCTTGTGTCAGGGAAGCCATCCGCCTATATGAGTGAAGTTATTGCTGCAGTTGGAGTAAGATGTGCCCTTCTCCTTCCCATTCCACCTAGTAAGGTAACCGAGCTAAACTTGTGCCGTGAGTGATCTTTAAGGGTCAGAGCATACCCACGGAATTACATTCGTCTATGTTGTTCAGCCAGGTTCATGCTAGGGACAAAACCCACAGGAGTTGGCAATTAGTGGTACTTTGCAATATGTTATTAGGGTAGGAATAAGAATAAAATCTGGTCTGAGTTGGAAGTTAAAGTATAAAACTGTGGGGCCACCGGATTCCGGGGGCACCCCTACATCACAGTACCTGTTCGTCTACTATTCTACCCCTTTGCGTTATTGGCAAGAAAGAAAGGTAACGTTTAAGGCTCAGACAGAAGAAATAAACAGAAAATCGCAACATATTTACACATGGGCCAGCGGGTATGCGTGTTAGGAAATGAACCTCAGTCTGATTCCAGGTAGATAGTGGGACCAAAGGTGAAGATTTAAAAAAAATTTAAGTTTAAATGAAATTAAAGTCAAACTTGAACTCCGGCTCAGTGTTTTTGTAGTCCAGTGGCCTTGCCGGCCTGCCGCCCTGCTGTCTCCCCTTCCTCTCAGGTGTCCGTTGGCTGACGGCCGACCCTTTGTGCTTTGAACGCTGTAGAAGGTGATGCGGCGGCTCCGTTCGGCTGGAACGGTCGGACTTTAGACATGTCCCATATGTGAGGGGGTTGTTGTCTCGGGACCTGGGTGGTTTGTATTGGGTGTTGCGGTAGCCCCAGTGCGGTGAGTACCGATTCCATCTCTTCGCCTTCTGTTATGCGGGTTGTCGCACCCCCATGGGAGATGACCAGGTTCCTGGCGGTAAGGGATGGAGTGTTGGCGGAGTGTAGTGGTCAGCGGTTTAAGCCGGCTTCTCCAGAGTAAGGTGGGTCTGGACAAGTCCTGGTAGAAGGACAGGGTGGTGTTTTCAAATGGAATAGTGGCTTTCCCTCTCACCGCTTCCATGAAGGTGAGTTGGGCCGACCGTGTCAGGAGTTGCAGTATGACATCTCGTAAGGGTGTCTGCCGGTGCTCTGGCAGCCCTTGGTATGCGGTAGACCCCATTGACTGTGGCTGTTTTCGCCTGTTGTGGCGTGAGTAAAGAGGTAAGGAGCCTCCTGATGTATTGTGGTAAGTCCCCGGGGGCCACCGTCTCTGGAATACCCCGGATCTTAACGTTCCTGCTCCTGTGCTGGTCCTCCGTAGTATCCAGGTGGCTGTTAAGCTGAGACTGGGTGCGCTGCAATTCTGCGTTGTGGGCTTTTGGCTGCTTGTATCGTGCAGTGAGACCCTGCGAGTCTTCCTCCACAGACTTGACTTGTTCCTCCACGCTGTGTATTTCTTCTTGCAGCATGGCGATGTCTGCTGCAAACAGTTTGCGGATGTGGCAGAGAAGGACTTTGATATCCCCTTTCGTAGAGGGCAGCTCGTTATCCTCATCGGATGAGGGGTGGTGCAGTCCCCCTGAGTGTGGGAATTCATCTAGCTCGTCCATCGCTTGTTCCTTGGAGGAGGCAGAGGCCGTGTCGCCATGTCGTTTTGGCGCGTTGAGGCTTGAGGCCTTTGCGGGCCGAAGGAAGGGGTCTCCAATGTCTTGTGCCCCTGTCGGTTTCGCAGCCCCCTGATGTTTGTTCTTCTTCCCCATCTTGATTTATTGCGATGGTGGTCGAAATAGGGTGTTTTGAAAGGGGTTATTTTGCTGTTTCAGGCTTATTTTGTCTGCTGAAGCACGTCTATCTTTGTTGCAAAATTGGAAGTGATTCAAACTGTTTTTTTTGTTTTGTTTTTTTGCCTTCTTTTGAATTAACAGCAAAAAACAAATGTGAGGAAGGCTGAACTTGATGGACACATGTCTCTTTTCAGCTATGTAACTATACTTTTCTATGAGAAAGCATTGGATTGTCTGATATCATCAATAAAGATGATTTCCATCAAGGGGACAGGACTTTTTTTTTTTTTTTTCTAATCCCTGCAGGTGGTAGCCTGGGACCTAAACAACCAACAGGGCTTTATAGCGTTAGGAATACACATTTGTATACCTAACACTATAGTTTTCCTTTGCTAGTAAATTTGATCAAGTAAATATTATTTGTATTATTACTATTATTATTATTATTATAACAAAACCATACCTCTGAAGATCGCATTCCTCCAAAAATGTAAATGTATTGTGAGGCAGCAGGAACTCTACACTAAACATTATGGATTCCTGTGCCACACTTAGATAATCTGATCTAGTAGATAAAAAGAATGAAAGGGCCTGGAGGCCAGCTTCATATGGAATGGAAACAACTTGCAAAAGATGAATTTCTCTTGCATGGAGCCTTTGCAAACCCTTCCCTTCTTCCCAAGCTCAGATGCTCGAGGCTGTCCATCACAGAATTTCCACGGTAGATCAATGAGAAGTTTTACAAGGCAGATGCTCTGGGCAATTGCTGTCTCTTGAGATGAACTCCACCGAGCTAACCAAACCAGGAAGTAACAGGACATGTTGTCTGCTGGAAAGCCAGTTGGGTGTAACTAGGTTAATTTACAAAATTGCCAGCTTCTATTGATATCTGCACTATTTGTAAAATGATAAAAGAGAACACAAAGCTTAAGTGCTGTAGGCGTAGTGTCCCTTTACGAATGCCCTCTTCTGGTAGACTCTCTACCAAAGACCCAATATCTAAGACTAAAATATGCTCAACAGTCTAGCAGGACAGTTTCAATCAATCTTCAGTTCATAGTAAAACATCATCATCTGGAGACTTGGTTTACAAATGAAACATTTTTTATTCCTTATTTAAGACTCCATTAGACACTGCCCACTAAACCAACTGTAATGAAGACTGTCGGATTCCATAGAAGATGTACATTTGCTTTGAAAGTTGTGTTTTAGCTTCCTGTACATAGTATTCTTGATTTGGGAATACAAACTTACCCCCAACATTTTTTTTTTTCTTTCAACAATATATTTTGAAAGGGTTCTTCAATGACACCTATTCTTTAAATTTGTAATTATTCATTTTCGTTATTATATCTGTTTAAATGTTGTCATTAGTTTAATTTCTTCACATTCTTGAAAAATTATTATTTGTGGAGTTTTAGTCTTAAAAGGATGGGATCATTCATAACAATATTCTTCTCCTGAGTTGTCCTGCTCGAAGAGCTTCAGTAACAAAGTTACAAAAAGTAAAGCAATATACTTTGTTAAATCTGTCCTCAATTATTTTGCAACAACCCCTTGTGGTGATAAATCCACTTATACCTTCCCCATATCTGAAACTGGTAAATGAATGGCTTCAGTTTGAGCTGATGGATTCAGTTTGGTAAACGTTTTGTTTTAATTGAGAAAAAATTCGTGACAGTAATGTCTATTTTAAATGGTATTAATAGAGAGACAGTGTGCACTTACAGAGAAATGGTTACATTAAGAACATCGACTTACTGAAGTGTCAATGTAAGAATGTCCTTACTACTTCTACAGGATGCGCCCTCTGTCCACACTGAGCATGCGCAAAGAACTCGTGACTCTTCCGTAATGATTACAGCTTGAGTCGCGTCTGGTTTCCTAGCAACCCTGGCAGGCTGACCCTCGAGAGAGAACGCGGAGGGAAGTTTTAGCTTTGTTGGCAACTAAAGATTGTGGTGAGGAGAACCGAGACAAACCCATCTCAAACTTAAAGGTATGGATGGAAATATATGTGTAGCTTCGCGCCTCCCTGCTTATATATTGGCTTAGAACTCTATAAACGGCGGTTTGTCGCCCGGTGAGTCTTTTAATCGGAGTAAATGCTGGAGAAACCGGTGACCGGTGCTGGTGGACTAGTAATTATATCTAAAACACTGGGGCTCATCCATAGCTTTTGCATAAGCTGTGTGGTTACATTTGTTTATTGATAGAGATATTGTTTTTAATTTTTTATAGCAGGTTCAGACTATTCTTGATATTTTATGTTTATTACTTCTTATTTGTTTCTACCGAATAAACATTGGTTTATTTGCAATTCTAATTATTTTAGGTATTGTTGATTGGATAAGCGCCCACACTGTATATCATTTTTGAGCTAACACTCAGTGATAGTCGCTGGTGATCGTGTGGAGCTGCCCTTTTTTATGTATTGCACCATTGTTATATATTCTCATCCATAGCTTGCAGAGCGCTCTGTTTGTTTACACGGTGCTATTCCCCATGGATACAACGCCTACAGAGCAGTCAGGAGTAGCTAACATATAGCTAGCTGTTGCAGCCACTATGATCCATATTCTCTGCTTTAGAGCATGGCCCAGTGGTAAATTATGTTTAGCCCACTGACCGAAAACATGCCCTCTAAAAGTGACCATAGGAAGTACCCTTTTGGTACCTGAAACCTCTGTTCCAATGTTTGTTTGGGAGAAGGGAAATGTTCCAGATTTGACTTCCAATCAAAAAAATAACCCCCCCCCCCACCCCCCCAACAATGTTATTCACCAATCGGTGTATTATCAGGATTTGAAAGAGAAAATAAAATTTCAAACCAAGTCCGATTGGGAAAAAATCTCCAAGGCACCTATGTTTACATTTTGGCATGAATTTCAAATTCTCTTTCAATGTTGGTGACTAAACTACTGAATTGTAGCAAATTAAAATTCAAAATGGAATGATTTCGTATCAAAATAGCTGTTGGGAAAGAGTCTCTTACCTCAGTGAAAGTGACAGCACGGTGATAGTGTCCTCTTTTTCTGTTTGAAGAATTCTTGGCAATTCACCTTTTATTGTACATACGTCTTGCTCAATTGACTTACAAGCATGATATCTTCGGTTCTTTAAAAAAAAAAAAAAAAATACATAATGATTGTATTCACAATGGGGTGATTTATAAAAAGTGATTTGTTTTCACATTAGTCTAGATGCCCCTCTAACCATACAGATTTGTTAAAATACTGTGATCCTCAAAGCCACTTCAATAATTATTTTAATAAGTATTGTTACGTTCACATATTGTATTTAAAGCTTAATCTATCGTGTATTAAAGTAGTACTGGATGCCCACAATGTGCTTACACCAGAAGTCCTTTCAGGGATTTAATTCTAGCATAGATTCAATAACGGAATCTATGCAAGAATGAAATCCCTGGTAGAAGTGTAAACTAAAAAATTTAAACAATTACATTTTGCAGAAATGGCTCTGTTTTCAACTAAAAGGCTGACAGGACAGCATCTACGCCACATCATCTCTTTATTTAGATTAAGTGATTTAAAGGAACACTATAGCGCTAGGAATACAAACTTGTATTCCTAAGTGTGCCCTCTTCTTAACTTATTTGGTTCCCTTACAACTCCGCTCAGGAAATGGTTAACAAACATTCTACCGGATGTGGGGCCTGGCCACCATACTAGCAGGCGAAGCTCCTGTACAAAGAGGCCTATTTTGCTGATAACAGCCAAAACCTTAACCATCCAGCGACAGATAATCGTGATATATTTGACAAACAACTGCAGGAGCTGCCTATACATCTAGGAAAAAAAGTGATTTTTGGAGTTCTTTAGAGGGAGAGCTCCTGCTCCTGTGACTGAGGCCTACTTGGACAGTGAGCAGGGTGGCCGGCCTGCTCTTTTGCCCAGGGGAATCACACGGGCTCTACGACACTACATCTTGCTGGCCCCGTTACCTCCCCCTTTGTACTGGTGGGGGTTATCCCAGTCCCCACTGGGGAAGCAGCCGCACTCACCTGCATCTGCAACGGAAAATATCTGTACACAGAGGCACTTAGGCCTGCTTTACATGATGACGGTGCAACAACACGTAGCTAATTCAACCACGCAACTAGCCTCTGACCTCACCAAATACAACTGGCTGTTCGAGCAATTCTGTGAGATGTTGCATCAGTGAGCGAAGGCACATTTACCTCTCTACCATCGACAAGCTGAAGACCAGCACCCTCAGAACATCTGGAAGAATTTAGATTTACTCCAGTAACTGGGCGGCAGAAGCGCCATCCACCAAACTGGGTGGATGCCACCCTCTATGCCCACACTCACGGAGGGTATTGCAACAGAGGCGTCAGCAACGTCCAAAGCCGCGGCTTCCCTGGAAAAAGGCCCTGGATTTTGTTAATGTCTGGGACAGTGGAGCTGGAGTGCAGGTTCCTGTGAAGGCCAGAGGCTTGCGTGATGTGGTTCTGGGGTTCTCATGGGGCTCCTGTGAACAGATCTAGACCTATGTGCCATTGCTTAGCGAGGGGATTGGCTAATTTATAATCGTTGCTGCCCGTCTGACAGGCTCTCTCTATATGCACCTGTTTATTATACTTTTTTTTTGTGCTTGTCTCTACATAGTGCCACCGATTCTCAGTCAAATTACTTTCATGCCAACTTATTGAGATGTGGGGCACCTAAGTAGTTTATATACGCTCATTCGTGTTAATCGTTACTCTAATATGCCTACATTTACCTATGTTTTTTCAAGCTGGATAATACAATTGTCTTTTTTATAATATCAGTTAACATTGGCTGACAAGCCTGACTAATCAGCTACATGTCTAACACCCTGTTTATTTTTTCATAAGAATGCATATCTTGATTTTAATTTGTACCTAGACATGTATGCCCAGCATGAATACTCTTATTCCTACTTTAAAATTGTGCAGTTTAGCATGACATTTTAAGCTTTAGCTATATGCCTGTTTTTCTCTTTCTGTTTTTACATCATATGTCATTGCCACTCTGTCTGTACCACTGCACTGCAAAACACTTGTGATGTGAAACTCTCTTTAAAAAAAAAAAAAAAAAAAAGTCCTGTCTGTTATATGCAATGACTGTCACATTTACTCTTATAAATATATATGTCAGATATGTCAGTAAAAGTTTGTATGTCTACCTATGCACTACAAAAATAAAGAAATATAAAAAAAAAAATTGTCATTCTCCCCACCTCCCCCACCCACCCAACATACCTCTTTCCAATGCCAAGATCACCTCCCATGGCGTCATGTCAAATGAGGGAACCTAATTCACATTAGAGCTTCGCCATTGATTCAGTGCTTTCCTATGGGCAATTTGAAGACATTAGACGCCCTCATGCAAGGAGTCCAAGAAGTGTCTCTAGTGGCTGTCTGGAAGACAGTTGTTAGGTCATGTTAACCCTACAATGTAAACCTTGTAGGGTTAAGGGGACAGAGGCACTGCACCCAGACCACTTCAATAGATGAAGTATTCTGGGTCTCTATAGTGCCCCTTTAAGTGCTTAAACTGTTTAATGGGAGTTTGCTGTGTATCTCAAATCTTTTTAATAATGGTGCTCGAGCTCACAATATAACACATATAAACTTAAAACTGTCTTTTTTTTTTTTTTTTTCAGGAAAAGATGAGTTTAGAGCAGCAACAATCATTTGAACATTCTATGCCCCCTCCTCAAATTTATGTGGAAAGAACATTAGCTCTTATAAAACCTGATGCCCTGCAAAAAGCAGAAGAAATTGAAAACATAATTCTCAGATGCGGATTTTATATAATTCAAGTACGTTTACATTTCAGCTGATGTTTGTAGTTGTTAAACTACCTTGTTGAATATAATAATTTATAACAATATATGGCATGTGGACCACCATTAACATTGCTTCTAATTTTTGCCCTGGCGCCTGGGATTTGAAGCTCTTTAGCTAAAGGCAGGATGGGGCAGCACAGGAGGGAGCAGTAATCTTCCTGTAGCTCCTGTCTGCTCTTTCGCGATATATAGTGATGCCGGGAGCTGGAATATGACGTAATTCCCTGGCATCACTACAGGGAGCAGAGAGGAGCTGCAGGTAGATTACTGCTCCCTCGCACACGGGATGAGCGAGCAGCCCCACTGGACCCCAGGGAAAGGAGGCTGGGTGGATTAAATTGGAAAATGTTAATTTGTTTGTGTGTACGTATGTCAGTGTGTATATGTCTCTCTCTCTCTCTCTCTCTCTCTCTCTCTCTCTCTCTCTCTCTTTAGGTACCTGCACCCCTACGAGAGAGGTGTTTTTACTCACCTCCTTTCCCATGCCGTGCCAGTTTTCCGTGGCTTGTCCTGCCTTTAAGATCTCAGCTAAATCAATACTTTCCTAAAGGAAAGAGAGAGCGTGGAAATGCTGAACAAAGGTGCTGTGCACTCTGCAGCACTGACATAGGACTCTCTAGTGGCCGTCTGAGTGACTGTCACAAGAAGTGCTACTAGGCAGCAATGTAAACTCTGCCTTTCCTCTAAAAAAGCAGCATTTACATTGAAAAGGCTACAGGGACAGGCTATAGGCACCAGAACAACTATATTAAGCTGTAGTGGTTCTGGTGACTAGAGTGTCCCTTTAAGAATTGTACCTTTCTCGTAAATTAAACTTTGCTAGTTTGAAAAAAACAAAAAAAAAAACTGGCTCCTAGATTCCAAATAAAATTGTCAAGCCCTGCCCTACTGGTCCCTTTGCCCTCGTAAATATAGTAAAATCTTACTTTTATTCCAGTCTGCTGCTGCTGATCTGCCTCCTTGACTGACACCATCAGACGTGGTGATCTGAGCTGATTACAATACTTTCCAATAGGAAAGCATTGGATTGGCTAAGATTGTCAAGGAGGCAGATCAGGGGGCAGAGCTAGCTCTAGCCAAACACAGCCCTGGCCAATCAGCATCTCGTCATAGAGATGCATTGATTCAATACGTCTCTATGAAGAAAGTTCTGTATCTCCATGCAGAGGGTGGAGACACTGATTGTCCATTCAAGACACTGTGCAGCACTGCCCCAGGAAGCCCCTCTAACAGCAATCTGAGGAGTGGCCAGTGGAGATATCTCTAGGCTAAATGTAAACACTGCCTTTTAAAAGGAAATAAATTTAAAAAAGTGTTTACTGCCAAAAGCCTGCGGGAACTGATTATACTCACAGAACAAATACATTAAGCTATAGTTCTGTAGATTTTCTGGTGACTATAGTGTCCCTTTAAATATTTTAAATCTTGAACCTTTTAAGGATCAGGAAAAAAATATTTATACAACAGTGTGTTTGGCATTCCATCGATCCTGTAAAGAGTTAAATCCTAGTTGTGACATTTTCTTCTGTAATAACCCTTTTCAAAACTAACTAAGGCTATGTAAATTCGAGAGTTATTTTACCTTATGGGCATTTATCCTGATTTTATTATCAGAATGTTAGTGAGCTTCCAATGGTGTGTAATTTGCTTACTAAGTTTATCTAACATTGAAACTACACATAGTGAGGACTGACAAAGAGGAAGAGTTTACCTCTGGAATTAATCAAAGGGACACTAAGCATCAAAGCTAATTTAGCTTAATTAAGCATTGTTGGTGTATATATCAAGCCCTGTAGTCTCACTGATCAATTATTTGCCATTTAGGAGTAAAAGGGTTACTCCAACACTGGAAAAAAAAAAAAAAAAATTCCATGCACAATGCCCTATTGGGCATTATTCTTTAGGTTTACCCCCCCACCCCCCTTAACCCTAAAATAAAGTTATAAAATTAAACAATAACTTACCTGAAATCCAGTGCTTGCGTGGCTTTACACTCTCCTTGTGACGTTGCTACCGATGTTGCATGGTCCAATCAAAACTCTGTCTCGAGGTCCAATGAAAACTTTGTGAGGTCCAAACAAATGCTCCAAACAAACACTGTTTCTCCAGCTCTGTGTGCTTGCACACGCTCTCAGCCAGTAAGGGGAGAGAGTGGCAAGGGAATAAAAAAAAAAAAAATGGGGGGCACACAGGAAAATTAGAATAATATTAGAAGTTAGTTAATCAAAGGGACACTCTATTAATTTCTGCTTAGAGAATCAGCCATGTCACGAAGCAGGAAAAAATTGCTGAACAAACACAGTACAAATGCCAAATTGACTCTATTTTTCAACAACAACCTGTGTATATTTTCAGAAACGTAAAATTCATCTAATCCCTGAACAATGTAGTGACTTCTACTCAGACCAATATGGAAAAATGTTTTTTCCTACTTTGACTGCTTACATGAGTTCTGGACCAATAATTGCCTTAGTACTTGAAAGGCACAATGCAATTTGTTATTGGAAGGAACTAATGGGACCATCAAATAGCTTGAAGGCTAAAGAAACCCATCCTGACAGGTATGTGATAAAAAAAAAAGTTTTTTATTATGAGGTTTATTAATGTTCACAATACGTGCATATAATGCAATATTGGTAGATAAATTGGGCAATTGTTGTAAACAAAGATATTAAACAGTATGTCACATAGGCGTGCGCAGCCTATTGCATTAGGGTTTGCACCCTAAAGCAGAAACACACGCCGTGTGTGTGTGTGTGTGTGTGTGTGTATATATATTTATTTACACGTGTGTGCTGTGTGAGGGTGGTTTGAGAGTGCGGTGTGTGAGGGTGCTGTTAGTGTGATGTGTTTGTGAGGGTGCTGTGTGTGAAGGTGCTTTGTGGGTGCTTTCTGTGTATGGGTGCTGTATGTGTGTAGGTGCTGTGCTGTGGGTGATTGTGAGGGGTGGAGGTGGGGGTACATTACTTAATATCCCCCCTCCCTTATTACCTTATATATGGAGGGGGATCGTGCTGCTGCCATCCCTGGTGGTCCAGTGGAGAGTGAACTCTAGCCTGTGGGGCTAGAGTTCACTCTCGCGAGATCTGAGCGTTGCCGTGGCAACACTCCAACCTCGCGAGAGGAACCCGGCGGAGCTGCTGGTTAAGCTCCCCGGGTCCTCTCCTGCCTCCCTCCATGCTGCTGTGGGGAGGGAGTCTTAGAGCAGAGCCAGCGCTCGGATAGCACTGGCTCTGCATGAGCCGACAGGGGAGATCCTGAGATCTCCCCTGCCGGTCTCAATACATAGGCATGCCACGGGGATTAGGGTGTGCCCAGGCACACCCCGTGCGCACGCCTATGGTATGTCAGTGATTTGTTGCCATACTTTTACGTTATTTTACATTACTTTCACATGTTTTGTTATATGCTTGTACAGTTGTTTAATTTAGGCCGTAGTGCATAACGTGAAGACTACAATTTTAGTATTAGTAAAGTAGCTAACAAATAGGCAAGCAGTAGGTGCGATAAGGTAAGGTTAAAGAGGATGAAACAGAGTGAAGGGGGGGGGGAGGTCATCTGAGAGTTACACCTTCGAGCCCCTTTATGTATCCACATGATGTTTGGGGGCTATAAAGTTGGTGTTTTGTTCTGTCATATTATCCTATGTTATGTTCGGTAACCGTGTTTGGTTGTATGAGAGCAGCTGTCAGATTGTCTGCGGTTCGTCTATTTGGTTAAGGTTTGTGCTCAAATAGCTATCTACATGTCCCAAGCCGCATTCCAGTAGGTGTGTTTGGTCAAGGTCGTTCTGGCTTTGCGGTAATACAGTTTTGGCTATATTTTGTATGCATGCTTGAAAGGATGGGATCATGGTGGAAGCCCAATTCCTGCTAATTACCTAAAGTTCTGCTACAGTGATGTGGTACGTGAGGTATTTAACATCTTGTGTTAATGTGAATGGGAAGCATAACAGTACGTAATGTTTTAGTTTATGTGGAAGTGTCATGCCAGTGCATGATCGGATGCTATATGCAACATCTTTCCAAAAATTGGAGGGAAGTGGGCATGACCACCAGATATGGACCACAGTCCGTTTTGTGTCTTTGCATCTCCATTTGTTCTATTCCCTCCCATATGGGCAAGCCTTGTTGGTACCAGGTACCATCTGTAGTGGAATATCCTTGTCAATTCAACATGTGTGGTACACAGCGTGCATTTTTGGTATGATTGGGTAATATGCTCCCTATTTTGTTCTGTATGAATTTCCTCTATATCCCTCTCCCATGCCTTTATGAACTTGCAGGATGTGATATCATTACTAAGATGGATGGCTGAGTAGATTTTGGATATGAGCTTTTTGATTGGTTTAATTTTTTTTTTTTTTTTTTTGTGAATATGATTTTTATTCATTTTGTGTATTTAAATTTGCGGTGAGACGCGCAGGTCTCCATTGCATGTTATTATAAAAGGTAACAAATTAGGCTCGCAGGCCCCATCACAGAAGGACTCGCAGGTCCCCATTTTCTGGTATTTACATTTGTTTGGGACTATAAGTTAAGTAACGTTTTCATGAACTGAGTGAACATAATGCTTTGTAATCGTCCTTGAACCAGATTAATCAGTCTTTGATTAGGTGTCAGTGTTTGTAGGCCACCCCTATGGTCCCTGTCCACGGCGTCTCATCGGGCCCTGTGTCCTTAGCTATGTGTCATCGACCGTGGTGGGCTTGTGCTGATTGGTTTAATTTTTAAGCAAACCTTTTCAAAGTCTGTCAGCTGCATTACAATTACAGTGGTTTTGTCTTTTACCATATGCTTATTTATCCAGGACCTGACCTGTCTGTATGGGTGCTGTTGGTGGGTTTGCATGTGATTACCTTAAAGGGACACTTTAGTCACTAGAACAACTACAGCTTATTGGATTTGTTCTGGTGAGTAAGGAAGTGGGCAGCCATCCAGTTAGAAATAGCAGACAGGCAGTCAGAAACACTAGTCAAGAGGGACGGGGAGCGATCAGGAGAGGGCAGGTAGATTTGCGTGTCATCTGCATAGAAATGATATTGGAAGTCAAAGGAGCTAATGAGTTTACAAAGGGAGGCAGTATAGTTGGAGAACAGTAGGGGACTTAGGACTGAACCTTGGGGGACACCAATAGAGAGGAGTTGGGGAGAAGAAGCAAAGCCAGAGAAAGAAACACTGAAAGAGTGCTGGGAGCGGTAGGAGGAGCACCAGGAGAGAGCAATATCTTGTAGACTGATATTGCAGAGGATGAGAAGCAGCTGTTGATGATCAACAGTGTCAAAAGCTGCAGAAAGGTCAAGGAGAATTAGGATAGAGTAGTGACTGCGAGATTTTGCAGTGAGTAGATCATTGAAAACTTTGGTCAGTGCTGTTTCTCCAGAGTGCTTAGCGCGGAAACCAGACTGAAGTGGGTCTAGCAGAGAATTGGACTCGAGGAAGTCTGTCAATCTTGCATACACAACTCTTTGAAGGATCTTGGATGCAAAAGGCAGTAGCGAAGTAGGACGGTAGTTGGACGGGGCGTTGGGGTCAAGGATGGGCTTCTTTAGAATTGGGGTTACAGTTGCAGTTGAGAGATCTCTTCCCTGATTGTAGAGATCTAGTTAGTGAAATGAGTTGCAAAGTCTGAGGCGGTCAAGTTAGTAGGTGGAGTAGGTACAATAGGGCGAAGAAGAGTCAAATGTGTGAAATAGTCGTCTGGGTTCGCAGTAGAGTTTGGTTATCAGGGTATTGAAGTAATTTACTTTTGCAGAAGAAAGAGCCAAGCTGTATGAGCACAGCATAAATTTATAGTGGAGAAAGTCAGATGCACAGTGAGACTTTCTCCAACAGCGTTCAGCAGTTCTGGAGCATTTTTGAAGAGATTGTGTAAGCAAGGTTCTTGCTGCGTTTAAATGTAGGAGGTGCCATGATGTCTAGTTGAGAGGAGAGGGCGGAATTGTAAAAGAAGGTTGCAGAGCTAGGACAGGCGAGGTTTGAGATAGGTAAAAGAAGAGTTTGGAGATTAGAGGAGAAATGCTCTAGGTCAAGACATTGGAGGTTTCTGTGAGATTGATGGTCAGATGGTGGTGTCAATTGGGTGTTAGGTATGCCGATGTCAGAAGTCAGCAGATGGTGGTCAGATAGAGGAAAATAAATACTGGAGAGATTAGAGGCAGTACAGAGATTGAGGAAGGCTAGATCAAGAGTGTTTCCTGCTGTATTGGTTGCTAAAGTGGACCATTGTGGAAGGCCAAAGGAGGAGGTTACAGAGAGCAGACGAGAGGCATCAGTGCAGTTGGGTATATTGAAATCCCCAAGTATAAGGGAAGGAGTGCTAGATGAGAGAAAGTGGGGAAAGTAATTCTTAAAGAAGTGGGTTTAAATAGGTGGACAGTGTGAACTTCAAAAGAAGAAAAGGATAGGGCCGGGGGAGTTATGATTGGTTGAAAGGTACATTGAGGAAACAGGATACCTACACCCCCTCCTTTACAGTTGTGTCTGGGAGGGTGAAAGAATTGTAGCCCACCAAAACAAAGAGGCAGGAGTAGCGCTATCAGAGGGGGACAGCCAGGTCTCTGTAAGTACCAGTAATGTGAGTGAGTTTGAGATGAAAAAGTAGTGTATGGCTGTTGATTTTAAATTACTGCAGATGGAGCGGGCATTCCAAAGTGCATACTGAATGTTGGTAAGTGAGGGTAAAGGGCAGGGTATTGTGATGAGGTTTGTGGGGTTTCTAGTTTTCTTAGTGTGTGTGTAAAGCAGGTGAAGGGCCCTGGATTGGGAGACCAGCTGCTAGAAGCATTGAATCAATGTATCTCTAAGGAACGTTCAGTGTCTCCATGCAGTGGGTGTAGACAATGAATGTTAGTCACACTGTGCAGCACTGCCCCAGTGAGCACCTCTAGCAGACACCTGTTAAGAGATGGTATTTATATTCATAATGCTTAAAAAAAATCAACATTTTTAGTTTTTCATGTATTTATTTATTTTATTTTTCAGAAGATTAGTTAAAAAAAATAGGGAACCTAAAAGGCGATTAGGAGTAGGAATGTACTCATCACAAGTTGTAACAAAAATGTACTTGAGAAAACAATTGAGCTCATGGTCATTTCAATCAAAGTACAGTAGCAGACAAGTTCTTAAGGTATCATAGTGAGTGCATGATGGATTTAAACTGTGGGATAAATGAGAGAAGGGTTTACTAAGTTCTATTGGAGGTTTGAGAGGCACGGCCATGGTTTGATGTAATCTGGTGATGTCCGCTTCAGACGATGTAAGCATCCATATATGGGGAGCCAACATTGGGTAGAGGTTAAGTGGCTAGTACAGCTACTATATATATAGGGAGGAGGAGAGATTACAAGATAAGTGTCCACAGCCATGCATGGAAGGGGAGATAGGATTCATGATTTCTTACAAGTTCTGTAGTAGAGTGCTGTTGTCTAGCTACAAATGTATTTGTCATGCAGTGACATACATACAAGCTCGTACTAACATGTCAGCAAAATTGTATAAGATAAGAATAACGAAAAAGTAACAATATATGTTGAGTATGCTGCATATTTTAAAAAAGTTAACTTTACAGGCTAAAGACATGGTTCTGACAAGCTAGATTATTGAAAAAGCATCCCACCTCCACTAAACGGTATCACTTATCAACAAAACATGAATTGAGATCTTGGCAACGAGACTTAAAGGTCACTGTGGCGGAACCAGCCTCGCCACTGGGCATTGGAGAAGACTGATTGCCAGCCTCTTGCCCTGTGACTATGGTCCCTCTCATCAGCCCATGCTAGACTTAAACCCCATGGCGATTTGACTGTGTTTGTGGGATTTGAGCACTCAGATCCAAGCCATCTGGGGATAGGTTGAATGTGGGGGTTCTGTTCAGTATGATAGGAATTATGTATTTTTGTGTATTTTTGCTGTTGTTGTGAATAGAGACATTTTCTGTACATGGAGATAATTGGCTTACCACACCCAGTTAAGCCAATTATCTCCAGGATAGAGGACTCTGTGGAATTGGTTTTGGCTGGAAAGCCATGCTTCAGTGGTCACAAAGGACTTAGACCTAACTTTTAAACCAATGGAAGGAATTCTGATTTTTGAGTATGTTTGTTTGTATTTGTAGTATGCTGATTCTAAAAATGTAAGTTGTGATGGATGTGAATGTGATGTATACTTTTGGAGTTATGAATATTGTGCAAAACTGTGTATTTTCCTGCCTGGGATAATTGTTAGCCCATTATGTTCAGTAATTATATCACAGGCAGAGGGGAGGATTTTGTGTGAGAGTGTCTGAGTGTATTGTATGTATTGATTGGTTGTATTTCAAAACCCTGTGGGTGGTACTATGTTTGTAGAATGGGCATAAAAGTAGAGTGTTTGAATAAAAGTTCAGTTCTACTTCACCCTCAATTTGGATAGCCGTCTCTTATTGGAGGAATCTGCTACAAGGGATTGCTATGCTAGTCATACTCTCTTGCTATAATCACTACAAAGTTCTCTTAAGAGCTTGTTCCTGTTTTGCTCGCTGAAGGAGTCTACAGTGGTTATGGTGTCTGCTAGAGTGCTTGGAGCCCTTAGGAAGCGCTAGGAGCATCTTTCAACGGAGGTACCCAGTCGGGGTGCCAGGTGATCTGTTACAGTCACACTTTCTGAGAGGGCCTGGAACAAACTTTTCGCCTCCTACAAAAAACTCACACTGTGCACCAATCACGTAGAACTAACTAGAAAAATATTATACAAATGGTACTTAGTACCAACGCGTTTATACTGCATGAGCCCTAGTATATCCAACAAATGTTGGAGATGCCAAGAAGGGCTCGGCGACATGCGCCACATTTGGTGGGCATGCCCAAAACTAATAGCCTTTTGGAAAATTACCCCTAACGACTACCCAAAGACGCACTTGATCTTCTATATCATAGAAATACGGCAGTACTTACGATCCTGAGCAGTAATTGGAGAAACAATGTAGCCCCTACGCTGCAAGACTGTATTCAACTTGTGGAGACAAATGATCTGAAATGACCGCCAGACTTTCTGCAGACCAGATGAATAAAATATGGCAGATCGCTTGGACCCACTGGGACTGGGTGACTTCCCCGACCAACCCGCCAATCCATTGAACTAGAACTCTCGCCACATGTGCCTATTCAACTGTACAATGTGCAAACGACTACTGTAAAATGGTAACATATAATTGATCTACACATGATCTCTGAACTACAAAAGACCTCCAATACTGTTTTGAGGACATGTATCCTGGCATTGATGTTCCTCCCATTTACATTGTATCAACCATATGGATGTAATAACTGTTAATTATCTACTATTGTGAACTTGAAATTTCATAATACAAAACATGAATTGAGGAATGGGCTTTAAAAAAACATAGAATTTAAGCACTGGGTTGCACAGCCACTTCACAGAATATATAACAAGTAAAAAGAAAATGAATGGGGGGGCGGAGCCAGCAGCCAAACAGAGCGGCCACACTTTCCCGAGCTCCGACCTTGGGATCTACATTATTGCGGTAAAACTGCATAAAACTTACCAGTACCCAACCTCAAGCTGTCACACTGCTACCTAAGGGCACAATGGGTCGAAAAAACAAGAAACAGAGAGCGGACAGAGGTCCCTTCTGCCACGATATTGGTGAGATGTTGCGAGGCCCTCAAAAACCAACATGGGACAAAATGGCGTTGGGAGACGATGGCTCCTCGTACTCCTCTGAGGATCTCTCCTACAACCCTGGGGTAGAGACCAGGATCAATCAACCAGCGGTGCCTAAAGCCAAGCCACCGGCTGCCGGAGACCCGGTCACAGCCGCCCAACTTAAGGATATGCTTTCTGAATTAAGAGCGAACATAGCGGCGGACATGGCCCATTACAAAGACGCCATAGATGGGGCCGTACATAAAATAACCCTCCTGGAGGCAAAAACGGACACACATGACTCAAGGCTCATCGCGGTGGAACACGCACTGGCGGAGCTCCAACAGAAAAAAAAAGCCATAGCAGACAGAACTGAAGCCCTGGAGGAGCGCAGGCGGCGCACCAACTTGAAAGTACGGGGAATCCCAGGCTCAGTGAGTTTGACTGACTTACCGCACTATATACGGCGCCTGCTTAATACCCTACTGCCGCCGAAACAAGCCAAAGCGATCAAGATTGAGGGCATGTTCCGACTGCCGAAGCCGGCGTCTGCACCTGGGGAGGCGACGGCAGACCTGATAATCAGATTTCAAACCTTACAAGACAAGATTTCGATCCGTACAGCGGCCCGCGGGCACACCCCTCTTTTGTTCGAGGGATCCACCCTATCACTGTTCCCAGACCTCACCAGAGGTACCATCGCATGGCGCAAGACTACTGCAGAAACTACAGGCTAAAGACATTCCTTACCGTTGGGGGTTCCCAAGAGCTCTGTCCTTTACTCACCAGGACTTGACATACAAAGCTACGACTTTCCAGGAGCTGGAACATCACCTCCTAAGCCTGAGCTTGAACAGACCAGAGAAGTCAGCCACAACAAGCCTGGCGGGCATTAACCCTTCAACCGTACCGGAGTTCACCCCCCGTTCCGTGCAACGGAAAACGCACGCCAGGGAAGAAACCTGAACTTTAACGCCTTAGTAGCTGGACTGTCACTCCCATGTCGGGCCCACAGACGGACTCCACCGTGAACAGACCTTTAAGTTACCGCAAGTTGTCATTGTTCTTTTTGTTCTTCCTTTTGTTTACCGCTCCTCTCCTTTATAGTCTTCATACGTTCCTCCACAAATAGTTGGTCACCTGGAGTCATACTCCCTTAAAGTGCACTATAATGCACCCTCAGCAACTGGGGACCAACTGGGTCCATATCAGGGACCAGCCCTACCTCTCTTACCCCCCCCCCCGGCCCTAGTCAAGGTGAGTAGACATCACACATACACCTCAACTCAGGGGTCATACTCTTCTATTCTTTTAGGGGCTCTGATACACAGGCCACTTACTCAAATGAGAAAACCATGAGACCCCCTAACATGTTTCTCACATGTAATGCACATGTCTTCCCCACTCACTAGCACAACCCTGTGCCCCTGGAGATATCGCTAACAGACACACTCGTAGCCCATACCCAAGGCCACACTAATCTTATTCTACCAACTCTATAAAAGTGCTGGACTATGCCTGCCATGTCATTGTACAGTTTGTATGTATTGCGCCTGTATTTGTTGTTGTGGCGAATCAGGCCATATTGTTATATGCTGCACGCAAAAATAAAGAATATAAAAAAAAAAGAAAAAAAAAAAGAAAATGAATGAGAATACTCTCCAGACCTAAAACAGAACATGAAATCTATCACAGTAAGCAAGTATAATAGACTTTGCTGTAGAGGATCTGTGATCTTTTCCTGAGACTGCTTAGCCGATGCCACGGGTACTAAGGTCCCTTAAGTTTCTTGGTCACCGGTAGTAAGGTCCCTTAAGTTTCTTGGCCAGTTCTTTTCTAATCCTCTTCTGTTCCTGGCTTCAGCTACAGCACACAGTGATTATAGCTCTTTTAGAACCTTGTAAAAATGCCACAATGTAACAAACAAGACCAGTCATATTGGGTAAAACAAGAGAACTGTTTATTGCAGAGAAAACATATATATTTATACCACTATATACAGCAGTGGGTCTTTAGCCAGAACAATGCTGTAGCGGTACGCCTAGTAGTAGGTTTTCACCGCCAGAGACGTCCTTTTCCCAAGAGTGAGAGGTGCTGTAGTGATCCCAGAGTCATCCGTGAAAGAAGCAGGAACAGCTCTTACAAGAGCCAGTTATTGTAGCGGTTCCCTACAATAAAAGACAGAACTCAGTATTGAGGGTATTGAGGTTGAAGACGTCTGAAGGTTTAATGGTACAGGCCAGAGGAACACTTGATGGAGCACCGAATTCCAAACTGTACAGACCAGTAAGAACAATGTACCAATGTCCGACACTCCCACATACAGCACAAAATCCTTCCCCTCTGCCTGTGATATAATTAAGGTAGATAATGTACTAACTTAATTATCCCCAGGCAGAAAAAACGAATTTTTACACAAAGTATAGAAAACAACCCAAAGCATCACATATTCCCATAAAATCCCCTGATAGACCTGATCTGGGTGAACAGCATATCCAAAAATCACCCAGATCAGAGTAGGGGTTCAGGAAATTCCTGGAAGTCTTTTTTGACCGACCGCACGCATGGTTTCATGCCCAAAACAGTTCCAGAGAATTAGGCTGTGCGGCCGGTCTATTTAAAACCGTTGAAATACCGTTTGAATTACCGAACGGAATGGTGAATGGTCCTAGTTAAAGTGTCTTTTGTTCATGGGCTTCTATTCACCGAACGCTGTTTGAATAGTCAATGTTCTCTGGAAGGTAACTGTTCAGCAGTGTTCGTGCCGTCTCGTGTCCGATTTGAGACCCATGAACTCGACGACAAAACACAGCTGAACACGTTCGACTACATAAGATGGCCGCCGCCACGTGTTCAGCTATACGAATGGCGGCTACTTCGACACTTTGACTGTATCCATAGTTCCATTTTGCAGAAAGTGAATGGAAGGGGTTTTAGGTGAACAAACAGATGAACCAGAAAGGGAATGGAAGGGGTTTTAGGTGAACAAACAGACAAACCAGAGGATAGATTTATAACCCAGAAACAAAGGATCTGTCACAAATGCAAACCACTCCCCGTGTCTTGGACTTAATTAGATTAAGACTTAATAATTAAATTATCTGCTGGACACCAAGACCCATTTCACAAGATTTTACACAATATAATTAAAACAATAGCTTTCATCCAGCTCAACATTTTACATAATAACACAATATACCCCCACTTACTATATCTCATTTTAAAGCTGGTGATGGAGCCGTAGTCAGTGGGCAGAAGGTTAGCCTTCAAGTCTCTCCAGGAGGCTGTGACATGGGGGCATCTGTGACAATACCTATGAAGGGAGGCTGCTGATACCGAAATACAAGAGTTCACTTTACTGTTGATGGGGATCCTACCATCCGCTGGCACCAATGCGCTTCTGAATCTTGTTTTTAGGCCTAAGGTGAAGTCCAGTACCCAGCTCAGGGTCCCTTTGCCTTTCCCATGCATGCACTCTTAGCAGGAATCCTCCAATGGCACAAATTACCCCTTTAGTTTTGGCCTCTTTCGGGGCACAGTGTACGAAATCAGTGGTGGGATTGAAAGATCCTCCAGTAGGTCACGTCTCATCTTCAGCTTCTGCTGCATTGGCGAGAGACTATCGATTGATGGAGCGAGTTTCAGATGGGACAAACCACACAAAAATGCAGTTTTTTTTTTTTTTTTTTTTCACGAACGGAGATATAGATTCTCCTAGAATTTCACCTATATTTGATCTAAGGCTAGTATGAACGTCTCCTGGTAGAACAAGTGTGTCTCATGTGCAGGAGGGTATTCAGGCCTTTGGACAGCGGCCATTTTAGGTAGCAGGCCTTCCGCTGTCAGCTTCACACGGCTCTGAGGGTACTCATGAAGTATCAGTGCAAGGAAACAGTGGGAACTGAGAGATCCTTCACCAGTTCAGTGGGGATAAAGGGGGCAGGGACAATCAAGCATAGGTTCGGGCCGAGGATTGGTCCCAGACTTTCCATGTTTGGACAACTTTTTAGAGCATATATACATTTTATATATAACCCCTTTTGGCATTGCACAGAATTGTATACATCACAGGAATTTTCTATTGTCCAGGGACCCTGCAGTTACCCTGCTAGTGGCTAAAATAACTTTCTGTACTCATTTCTCTTGTCAGTGAGTCATGTGATTTTGATAGCAATAGGCCCAGGAGTCCTGTTGGTAGGGTTTGTCAAATATGAGGTATAGGAAAGTCACTTGTAGCCTTAATGGTTTCAGTTTAAAGCATCCCCACTTGCAGGTCAGATGTGTTTTTTTTTTTTTTTAATGATTTTTTTTAGTAAACTTAAGGGTTAAATACCACCTGAAGAACATTTTGTATGATTATTTGTGATTTATGCATCCCATATATCTAACCGGTCACTCATTTCATCAGGTGTGCCCAACTGCTGTTCCCATGCTCTAATGAAAGGTAGAGAGACTTGGGTAAAGTGAGCCACCAAAGTCACAGCATAGTTATGTGGCCTTTTTTGTATTGTGTATGATAAGTAAGTGCATTCCAACAAAGTGTGGCAGGCTGTTTCCCGCCTGTTGCACTGCTGTGGAAGATGCCATGCAAAGTAGTTAAACATAGTAGAAATGGTAAAATGAGGTAAGAGTGAAATGATGGTAAATATTGAAAACTCACCCCCTAGCTATTTGACCTGGTAGGGTATGCACATGTTGCATTTGCATGTGCTGCACTGCTTGGAAGTAACAAAGTTTGGGAGTCCGAGATCTCTTATCTTAGTGGGAACAGTAAGCATCGTTCTGCAGACTTGTGATTTCCTACCTTTCCAAATTAATTTGTCAATGTTAGTCAGGGTTACAAATTGGAATTTGAGTGGCTGGAATAGTTCATGAGCTTTGGGAAGCAAGTAAATAGTAATAGATTCACTCGGCTCATCCAGGATACACTGAAGCCTTTTCAACTATGTACATCTTCATGTATCTTTTCAGTATGGGGGTATAATTGATATCCTGTAAAAAGGAAATTTTAGCCATAAATTTTCACCCCTAAATAAGTAATATTAGAGAAGTATATTTGGGATGGGAATTGTCATCTTAAGCTGTTATAGGTTCATCTATTTATTCAGAGAGTGAGGTTCAGATTTCTCCAGATTGAGTTTATAACCCAAGACGTCCAGCTATTTCTGTAAAAGTGTAAACAGAGCTTTGATGATCGTCGGTTTCTCATTGTCAGAAGGACACTGAGAAATGCTGCCATCTTGAGTTTTTCTACTTGGATTTTAAAACATTCAACATCCTGGAGAGAATGGGCAACTTTGTTGTGTGCTGCTGAGAATAAGTGCACAAATGTGTGGGATCAATATGTGAGTAAATTCCTTGTAATAAAGAACTGAGTCCTTCCAGCCCAGGGCTGCTATTGGGCTTGAGAGTTTGCAAAATGTCTTTAAGTTCTCCAGGAGTGATCTCTGTATCGGTTTTTGATGAGTGATTCAATGTGTAGGGAATTCAGGAATTATGTTACGGTAGATATGACGGTTACCCCTATAGAGTGAGGGTATCTACCGTCTGGACACCCTTTTTCCCATGGATGGAGAGCGCTGCAAGGTCCCAACCTGATATCCTGGAGAGCTAGTATAGCTAGAGAGAGCTCTTACAAGAGCTAGCAGTGATATAGCAGTTATAGTTGGTTCCTACAACACGAGACAAGGCTGCAAGTTGAGGGTAAGGAGGTCTGGTTTATTGAGCAACTTGCATATCTTTTCTACACATTTTCAGGCCAGAGGCACACCCCCTGGACCTGATGGAACACAGGGACACAAGGAACATAAAACAATGGGGACAATAATTAGTACTGTATTGTTGTAGAAATGTTTGGCCTTTAGACTCTGGGACGTCTGTTAGGTGTTGTCAAGGGGTTCGGATTTTAGAAATCAAAATCAACATAGTTTGAAATAATCTTTCATACTTAGTAATTGGTACAGATATTGACTGTGTATTTAATGCCTCAAGTTTGTGACCATGAAACTAGATGCTGAGCATATCCACTGGAGAAGGTGTGCCATGCACAGATTGTAAGAATCTGCATTTACTGTTATTGAATTATTGCATGGCTCAGCAATTGAAACACATTCTTTCTTTGATTCTTTGCATTTCTCTTTATTGATGTTCAGTGCCTTGCAAAAATATACACATTCAGTTCGTTGTTTCCACATTTTGCAATCTTGGAATTAAAATGGAAATTTATAATTTTTTATTGTAAGTATAGCAAGTTGTACAGATTGTCATCAAGTCACAGTTCACTAAATTTAAAATGCAACATTGGTAAACAGTATGACATGTAATATATAAGCATAAGATATGAGAAAGCATCACACATCCTTAAGTATCATACATACAAGTATCTGCTTGAAGTTGCACATTCCTATACATTTTCTAGACATACTGAGAACTTTTTGTTTTTTGAGCAATGATGAGTCATCTGAACTCTGAATAATCTCCGGTAGTCTACTGAATTGAGCTCAGTGAGCCTGCAGCACGGCTCAATTTCAGGAAGAATTGATTATTGGATTATTTCAATGTCCCATAGCCTGGAGGAGGTTATTGGTACCGGTTTTGCAAAGGGTTTGGTTGAAATGGCCTCTATAGAGATACCCAATGCTGTAAAAAGTTTCTCAGAGTTGCTTGCTTGTGAGATTTGCAGTCTTTTGCCATCCTGAAGTACAGATAGTCTTCAGCCAGGTCCCCAGTAGTATGGTACTCTCTTGTTCCGCAGGACCTGGGTAACCGCTTTTATGGAGTGTTGTCCGGTTAGTCGCCCTGGAGAGAAGGATAAGTTGGATCCTTCAAACTTGTAGGTGGTTGCATAGCAGGCTGCTGCCTGCACCAATATCTTGACATGAACCAACATGTATTCCTCACCCTATAGTGTTACCACCATCTAGCCCCCATGGCCCCTCATGCCTCCATAAATATAGTAAAAATCTTACTGTAACTCTGCATGATGTTAGACTCAGAAAAAGCAGTCTGCTGACATCATTAGAAGTGCTTCCCCATAGGATTGGCTGAGACTAACAAAGAGGCAGATCAGGGGCAGAGCCAGCATGATTCAAATACAGCCCTGGCCTATCAGCATCTCCTCATAGAGATGACTTGAATCAATGAATCTCTGAGGAAAGTTCAGTGTCTGCATGCAGAGGGAGGAGATACTGAATGTTTGGATGCATTTTAGGCAGCCACGACCCAGGAAGGATCTCTAGCAGCCATCTGAGGAGTGGCCAGTGAAGTTATCACTAGGCTGTAATGTAAACACTGCATTTTCTCTGAAAAGACAGTGTTTACAGCAAAAAGCCTGAAGGTAATGATTCTACTCACCAGAACTAATCCATTAAGCTGTAGTTGTTCTGGTGACTATTGTGTTCCTTTAACAAGTCCCGTTGGACCCCCATCTGGGGTTCTACGAAGCTTAGGAACTCAGAAATGGTATGCCAATATCTAAAAGAGGGGCAGTAAGTGGGAAAAAGTGCAAAATTCCAGTGCAGGCTAATCACCCCAAAATAGGGATCACTCCCAGTCCCAGTTACAATACCAAAAGATTAGTATACTAATCTTATGGTATGCCAATAGGCTGGATTTCGCTAGCTGGTGGAAGCAGTTAGGTCATCAACCTCCTTAAGTAGTTTTAAGTAGTAATCTCAGGGTCAAGCAAATCCTCTGGAATCCCTTTAATCTATTAATAATTTAGTCTTCCAATGCTGCCACTTTGTTTTCCATAGTAGCGTTTGCCTGTTTAAGCTGGGCCATATCTCTCTGTAGGGTTTCAATTTTATCTGCTGTATCCACTTTGTTTACCTCCACGGCCTGTATATGGGCTGTTATTGCACCCAAATCCTCCCTGATTAATGCAACGTCTGCTGCAGAGAGAGCTTTAAACTCTGTGAGTAGATTGTTGATGTCTGCTTTGCTTGCAGCGATTTGGTTCGAGAGCTAGATCAGGAACCATTTGGGTGATTTCTTCACTTTAGCTTGCCATAGCATTCTCACTATCTTGGTAATGTTATTTCCTCAAAGGCACATTGGGACTTTAAGGGACAGCTACCAATTTTAATAGCCAGAAGTGTAGAGCCACATGCTATACAGTGCAAGGTGAAGAATAAAGTATATTTAATTATGGTCCAGGAGACAAAACAAACATATGAAGTTTTGGCCGTGAGGCCTTAATCATGTAGGATTAAATCTTCACGCACACATGATTAAGGCCTCACAGCCAAAACGTTGTACCTTTGTTTTGTTACCTGGACCATAATTAAATATACTTTATTCTTCACTTTGCACTGTGTAGCCTGTGGCTCTATACTTGTGGATTTATATTGGGGACTAGCGGACCTTTCCCACAGCGCTCCGGTGTCTCAAGATACTAGCGTGGAGCACTCCACTACCTAGTTTTAATACCCAGCAATCTTAAACACACATGGAATTATTTACATGATTGCTACTTAATGTTTACTGTACCTACACACATCTCATTTTTCAGCCACCCTCCTGTTTCTTACCTTTTTGATGCAGGAGACTGGCTGGACCTGATGGGAGTAGGCTGGCTCTTCCTTCCTTGCGCGTGGAGTGAGCTGGGATGAAGTGACTGGCCGTCACTTCCTCCCAGCAACACTTGTGGCTGCAATTTTTTTTGAAGGGGCTCGCTATTACACGGCCGCAGCGCTGACCAGGCCCCTGAAGATATAGTGCCCATCGGGTCCTGAAGATATAGTGCCCATCGGGTGGCCCTAGTTGTTTGGGCCACCCAATGGGCCACATCAGCGTGCGAGCCCCGGTGCAGCTGCACCGGCAGCAGTTCCGCCGCTACACATGGGGACCGGGTGGCTGGGCCCGTGACAACCATCATGGTTGTCACCCCCTAATGACGGCCCAGCCTGTACATATCTCTGAGTTATCTCACACTGAGAGTCTTTGATTAACTCGGTGTCACTATATTGCTCTGAAGCTCACCAATTTAATTGTGAGGTTAACCTGGATATTTTTCTGAAAACGTTTATTAGCCCTTACTGTTTTCAGTAATTAAAGGGATATTATTGAGATTGATAAAACCCTGTGTTCTCCCTTGGCGATTGTTATAGCTATTATTGGGCTTAGTATATTCTTTACATGAAGCAGATTATATCTCACCTCTATTTTAATTAGAGTATTTTGGTTTATTTTCCTAGCATATGATGGTTGTACTTCCATATACTGGAACAAGTAGCATGAAAAATATTAAAATGATTTAAATTGCTGCTCCCACTCACCCTGTATATTCCCCACGGTACCTTACTAACCAGTTAATACCAAGAGAAATACGGACTCCATTCCATGCAAAAATAAAAAAGGGAGGGATATTGTATTGCCACCATATTAAGGAAAAAATAATTTACAGTGAGTACAAAAAAAAAATTCTGTTTTTTTTTCTTGCATATGGTGGCAGTACACAGATGGGATATCCAGCACGAGACGGACACGTAGTCTGACTTGGTTAGACACAAAGGATGTGGTCAGGGGGAAATTGGTCTGAAAGCTGCCCGGGTGCTGTGCTCAGTGACCTGGTTCCGACACTTTCAGGAGTTACAAAGCAAATGGAGGTAGGCTCTTTTATGCAGAGGATGGTCCCGTCAATACTTTTTTTGGCGGTCAAGGTGGCACACCTATCGCGTTGCAGGCCGTGCATATGCATGCGCACAGCGATAGAATGCACGCTGGGAGGCCTTGCATTCCACCGAAGTTCCGACCGTGCTATTGCACATCAGAGGTTTGGAACTTCATGTTTTGAAATCTATTTTGAAGTGAGATATATTTTGTCTCTACTTTAAAAATCTCTGTATTTCATTCTATTTTATGGATTTTAAAGTTACATTTCTTTTTTAAGAATTACTATTCCTGTTTCTGCTGATAAAATGGAAAAAGACTGAATTTCTGCACCTGCACCCAAGAAAGCTACTTCTAAAGCAAAGCATTTATGCTGCAGTGAATGCTCTACTCCTCTTCCGTATGGATCTAAGAGGAAAGTCTGTAATTTATGTTAAACTGAGAATCTGGAAAAATCCAAGCAGTCTTTTCTATCTTTGTTCAAAGATAATTTGGCTCACTTTTGATGCTGGGATATTAGCAGGAGCTAATATTCCAGCATCTACACATATAGCAGGTAGTAAGAAACACAAGAAGAGAAGATCTTGATTCACTTCGATAAAAATATCAGGAGAATGCTCAGCATCAGTTTTCTCCAAAACTTCTAGTACGTCATCTAGTGTGGAGATGGGTTTCCCACCAGACAAACTAAGGAGGTTTATGGAAAAAAATATCTTTGATTTTGAGTGAAGATTTACCTCAAAATCTGAGGGAAAAGGTTTTCCTGTTCAGAAAAAAACTGCTCAGCTTAATTCACAGATATACAGGTAGCTCAACTATCAAAAAAGATAACTATTCCCATAGGTGAAGTTTCTGGCCTTAAAGATCCTATGGACAAACTGGTCGAGACTTCTTGTAGAAGAGCCTTCCAGTCAGTTTCAGGTTAATGCAGTCTTAGCAGGGTCTTCTGATATTAAAGCACAACATTTTTGGATTCAATCTTTGGAAAATTGTTGGCAAGACACTGACAAAGATTTAACCTATATCATGAATAACTTGAAGTTATCTAATGATTTCTTAATGGATATGTCGGAAGGAATCCTGAAATTAGCAGAATGCATCATGGGTCTTTCCTCTGTAGCCAGGAGGGCCTTATGGCTAAGGTCTTTGTTGGCTGATACTGCCTCCAAATCAACTTTGTGTGAATTGCCATTAGAAAGATCAAAACTTTTTGGATCACCTCGGGAAGAAATTATCAGGAAAATGTCTGAAACTTAAATGTATTTTCCACAGGATAGAAAATTCTCTTTGAAGCCTGGTTATAAGAATTTCCAGTTTCGCACATGCAAGAATTATGGATAGCAAGACCAATTCAGAAAATTTAAGAGATTCCAGGAGGATACCAGATTTGATGATAAAAAAAGTTTTTTTTATGTCAGGAGAGTAGGAGGCAGGCTGCAATTTTCAATTCATTCAAAAAAAAAGTGGCTTATTTTGATTATAGACTCCTCTCAACTATATTGGGGTGTTTATTTCCAACCCCATATGTGCCACGGCAACAAGAGACGCTCACCAATTATCACATTTCAGAGAATTAAGCCGTCCTCCATTCTCTTCTTAATTTCAACAGTTGCTTAAAGAGACAAGGGGGAACAAGAATAAAAAGCCTCCATCTTCTCTGTTCATAAAGGGGAAAAAACAATATAGTAGCAGACTAGTTAAGCCAGTCAAATTGGTCACAATCAGATTGGACTCTAAATCCAGATCTATTTTCAGTTCTCACCAGAAGATTCAGAACTACAGATGTAAATCCAGAAGGATAAATTGCAAAGTTTGGATGTTCGCTTCACTTTGCAAACAATATCACCCTCATTTTCTAGATGGGACGTCCATTAGTTGGAATTTCAAACTGGCACACGTGTTTCCTACAGTGGCCTTAATTCCAAGGGTCATCCAAAAATCGGGTCAGAACAGGCTCGAGTACTGGCAATTATCCCTTAGTGGCCCAAAAGAAGTTGGTTCTCGGAGTTACAAATGATGGGGGGAACAGTCTGGGAACTACCAACTGACCTTCCCCTGTTAGAAAACAGGCAGCTGCCTCTCGACACCTTGCTCATGTTCAGATTAAGAGCATGGCTTCTGCAAGGCTAATCCTTCAAAAGCATGGCATCCAAGGTAACAGGTTTGAACTTTTGATGGGCTCTACTAGGAAGTCCACTTAGAGAATATATTTAAAAGTTCCCCT